TTTTCTTCAAACAGAAACTTTCCTCAAGAGTTCACATATTCCATAATGGAAATTTTTCGAAGGTGGCTTCTTGTTTGGAGTAGTCCGATGGCATCAGGTTTTGAAGCAAGCAGTAGAGAAAAAAAAAAAACAAACAAACAAAAAAACAAAAAACAAAAAACAAAAACAACAACAACAACAACAAAAAAAACTGAAACACAAGTTTCATCTGATAAGTTTTACATTAACTGTTACAAGCTGGATAGTATAAAAATGTGGCTTTTTTTTAATTCTCAAAATGTCTGAGTCTTAGTGTGGAAAGGAGTATTTGGCTGTCCCACACAGCTTTCTCATAGTGGGACAGTCAGGGAGGTCTTAATGGAGGAGGAGGATTTGTTTACCTATCAGACATAAACTTCCAGGCACTCAGTTCATTTGGGGCTTGCTCTGGTTTGTCTTTAGTTAGTTTGTTCCAGTTCACCTTTCATCTTTAGCAAAAACAAGTTGATTACTGGGTCTGCCACTGTTGACCTCAGATGGGCAGCACTCGGCTGGTGGGCTTGCTTGAGGTACTAGATTTGATCAGAATATTCTAGCATCTCTTCTTCCTTGGTTGCCAGCATCATTACTAGAATGTTTTCCCTGCAGACTCTTGTTGCTTTGGCTTTTCTTCAGACTACTTTACAGTTACACTGAGTTAAGATCTGTGTACTTGCCCACCACAGCTTGAACATATGCTTCACACTGTTTCCATCTTTGAATTAACTCATTTCACGCCATAACTTTGGAGTCCGTTCCACTCAGTCAAACCTTTTTGGAAAGAGGTTCTTCGCTGGTCGTTTTGTATCCTCTGCTGCCTGCCTGGTCACTGGGCACCGCTAGTCACATAGGCTGAAGCCGCACTGCCACCCCAAATCATTTTCATAAGGGAAAGTAACTCCTTCTCTCATAGCAAAGTAATAATAACAAAACCCTCGTGACTTCTTCAAGATTCAGTTTCCAAAAAAGTATTGGAGACTCAGTATCTGTTTCAAGCTCTTTAGTGTGTCTGTTAGACTGACACTTGCTTCTCTTCTTATTCTTAGCCTGCACTGGTACTAAACATCTGATAATCTCCTTGCATATAAATTGACAATATGGTTCTAGGGAAGTTTTTATCCAATTAAACTCAGGTTGTTTTTTTCTGGAGCTCCAGATGTTTCTGAACTCCTCAAGCCCTCATTTAGAGATAATTTTTTCCCCTCCAAATTGGCAAGGCATGGATTTTTCTAATTTAACTCTTTGAAGGTGAAACTGGCTGTGTAGAACTCTGAAGAAAGCCAGAGAGACCTAGGCTCCTGACATGGGTTGAATCTGATGAGAACCACTGAGCAAAGATGTATTAGTCAGACAAATATTAGTTAAACCACCATTGGTCCTTTAGAGGTCAATACAGAGTACCAGGGATTAAATGTGTATTTAGATTTGTGGTCAAAGTATGGAAGTGAGAGCTTGAGGTCCAGTAACTTGACAGAGATTAATTTTATCTCATATAATGTTAAGGACATAATAACAATAAACAAATTATGGAAATATGTGACTAAAAACACACACCATGCCCGTTTTCTGGGTGGACCAGATTCAAAGACAAAGAAAATCAATTCTACTAGATGCTAGAATTGAAGTTCTGGTTCATTGAAGAAAACATTAAAGTATTTTGAAGATAGTGACTAAGAAAGTCTCTTTCTTAGAGATAAAAAGGCCCTCTTTTGTGTGACTTGAACAATGTGACTTTTAAATTTATTTTTGGTCTCTCTTGTTAAGTGATAAGAAACCATTGACCAAAAAAATGGCATGGTTTATGAAAAAGGAGCCAATGTCTATGGATAATTTTAATTCTGACCTCAGAATCTTTATAGATAATCAATAGTTTAATTCAACTCATATTGAAATTACATTAGTGTTTGAAGCCTTCGCTCCAGCAATACATGAAAAAGTAGGGAAGGCCATTCATTTGCTTGGGATGTGCTGTCCTTGTTGCTGACCCAAGTGGTCAAGAGTAATCAGACACTTGATGATTCATTCTCATTCAGGCTCTCTCTCTCTTCCTTTATTTCTCTTTTCTTTTAAAATCCATGACTTATATATGATCCTGGGAATGCTTCTGCTCTGTGTCTTTTGATTTTTCTGTTAAAGTAAGATTTATGTGGGTAATGTGACTAGATTCATTTAAGTGTGTTAACTTGAATCTAAGGATTACATTGCTATGAACATGTAGTTGAAATTATTTATTAGTACTTGATGATAACTAATTGATTTAGAATAAAGGAAATAAACTGAAACTCAATTCTGAAATATTAAATGTGGTCTTGAAAGAGAACTCTCTGTCTTTCTACTTGATTACTGGTGAACAGCGTTATGCTTGGTCAGGAAGTCACAACTCTCGTAAAACTTTATTAGTGTTGCAAGATCATTAACAGGAAGCAGAGGGGGAAAAGAAGTAAATATAAAGTGTCAGTTTCAGAGAGTCAGAGACAAGTTCATTGAGCTGTAAATTAAATCAAATGCCACAGAATATGCAGATTGTAAAAATGTCCATTCTTTGCAAAGCTGTTAAACTTTAAAAGGTCTTTTCTATTAAAATGACTGAGATGAGTATGGTGTCATGTTGTCAGGGTGAGGGCTTGCATAACATTTGGAGGCCTCAGAATAGGAAGGTAGGTGGGAATAGTTTTTGTCTATGAAAGATCCACAGGCAATGAATATTTGCTCAACCTGACAATTACATATTTTATCTCCTTGTTTTCTTTTTAAATACTTGTATATTGTGTGAGAAACTAAAAATTTAAACAAGATCCAAAATTCATAATAGATATTGTAAAACAGGAAGTAATTGTTCAAAGGGAAAGGTGAATTGAAGGAGTGGACGGAAAGGAAAATAAAAAATAATGAGAAAAAAAAGAACAAAACTGAAGCAAAGCTTTGTCAATAAGGAGGGGAAGAGAGAATGAGGAGGGAGAGTGGAATGGAAGCAAAAGAGCAACTAAAATATATCATCTACAAGTACAAATTCCTGACGATGAATATGACCATGAAGCATATCTAAATTGTACCAATAAATGTGCATGAAGAATATGATCATTGTACTTATCTGAATTGCATCAATAAATTTAATTATTAAAAGAATAAATCCTTGCACATGTTACTGAACACTTGAGGTTTTTTTCAATATGTATTTAGTTTCCCATTTTCTAATTTTGTTGTCTTTAAATATGACTCTAGTTTTATATCATGAGTAAATATATTAACAAAAACATATTCACGGCCTCAGATAGAAGCATCTCATGGATCTGTATTCTAATTATTGTTATTGGAGAAACAAGGCATAATGCTTGCCTGGTATGATCTATAGTGGGACATTTTCCTCAAACCTGTGTGTGTGTGTGTGTGTGTGTGTGTGTGTGTGTGTGTGGCTGCAGAATGGTCAAAGTTGGTAAATATCTACCACATATATAACTCCTTGCTCAATCCAAAATATATACTTTTCTTGTAATGGGAAAAAGGGAAGGAAAGGGAGAGAGACAGAGAGACAGAGAGACAGAGAGACAGAGAGAGAGAGACAGAGACAGAGAGAGAGTGACAGAGAACAATAAAACAATCTAATAGATAAAACTGCAATAGATCCCCCAAAACATTCTCACCAAATACTATGTGATTATTTCTCCTACAAGCCTAAGCAAGATCATATCCTTTGCAAAGGAAAATAGTGTAATAAATCAGATATTTTATCAAGGAATTTGAATAACATCCACTTTACTTATAATGTATAGATCTTTCAATTCACAGATTAAATTCCCACATATATTGTCTAATTAGGGTGTAACATGAGACTATAAAAGTGGAAACACATACTAGCACATATAATTCCAAAAGAAAAGGCTTGTAGTAGTTAAATGACTTTGTATGACTACAAAGCCATATTTGACATTTTTATCATTTTTTTCCATTTTCAACTCAAGGTTCTGTTTCTTCTACTTTCAATTCTATAGTTGGTGGTTTTAGTCAAATTTGTTGTTTTGTCCATGTGCAATAGTAAATAAGTGACAGTTCACATCCCCAAAATGTAATTAGTTGGTTCCAGTGTAACTGTATTGGTGTATACCCAATCATTATTATGGTACTATAGATTATGTTCAAATATGGTATTGATATTTTAACAATAAATTGTATGCAAATACTAGGTATTGGAATCAGGTGCCCCATTTTGTCAAAAATTTTTAGAACTGGATAAACTCATTATATTAATGATGTGTAAGTGTGTGTAAGTATAAAAGGTTGGAAGAGACAAAAACCCCCAGTTTTGTGTTTATTGCACCAGGAACAATTCCTACCTTGGCCAGATTACAGCATTTGTGTATATTTTCTAGAGTTACAGATGGAACATTATATGCTCTTACTAACTGCTCCTCACTTTATGCCATTTTATAGAAAATCAATTTTATAAGCCTGTATGACAGTGATGTACATATTTTAGATGTGTCTTGGATATTTTTGGTATTATCTGTGAAGCCCATTCCTCAGTTGGACTAATTAATTTCTCTATATTTTTGTTTCTGAGGCCGTTCTGCCAGTATATGGGAGTGGTTAATGTCTATTAACACAGAACCTAGGAAAAGCCCAAAGAGATCACTTAGAATTCCCTCACTTCTCTACATTTTATTTGTGTAGCAACTAATTTGCTCGTAATGGTCAGGACCACTCATCTTTGCTAGCAGGACCATTCATCTTTGCCAATGTGTTTGTATTGTAGTCTAAGAGAATGGCAAGTCTAAGATATCTACATGTCAATCTCAGTTCCAATTCAGAAGAATCATTTTTATGCTCTTCTCATAGAAGCATTCCTCAGTTCATCTAAAATTAGCTAAACTAAAACAGCTAAACTGGTATGGTATTCCACTGACTGATTGTTAACATGAGTGGAAATAACCAGCTGACTGAGTGAGCACGGTTGCCTGAACAGTGTAAACACAGTACAGCTGGGAAGGATTTCAGGCACCTGATCTGCCTCGAATGAGTTTCGCTGTGGCTGCCTTACTTTGGGAGAGTTTCAGTGGTTTTTCTTGGAAGGAACTTTGGCCGAGTTTTCTTTGAGGGAGAATCAATCCTTGTCTTCATCTTGGACCTGGGCTCCTGGCTTCCAGTGCAGATCTCTCAGCCTTTGGCTCTGATCCTTGAGCCTTTTGGCACAGATACTTCAGCTTCTGGCACTGGCCCGGGGCCTTTCTGTTGCAAATCATTTAATCTCTCATTGTGTATCCTTTGGCCTCCTGATACCAACTTCCATGAGGTGTTTCTGTGTGCTCCAAGCCCTAGACTGGAATCTTTTCATGCTCAAGGCATGGACCAACCTCTCACATTCTTCTACATCTAACTCAGGTAAGCACAAAGACACTGAGTATGGTGGTATATACTTGAAATCAAATTGCTTTGGGAGACCAAGGCAGGGAGATTGCAAGTTGAACCCAGTTTAGGCAATTTGGTGACTTAGTGAAACCCCATCTGAAAAAATAGGAGAATGTGGCTCTGTGAAAAGGCCCAGGGTTTGGGGCTGGGGATTTGCTCAGTGGCATAAGCTTCTGCCTTGCAGGGAGGCAGTCATCAGTTTGATCCCTGATACTGATAAAAAAAAAAAAAAAAAAAAAAAAAAAAAAAAAAAAAAAAAGGCCCAGGGTTCAATCCCGTTTCCAATTATTGTTAAAAACAAAAGTTTAAAAATGGTTTGGAGGAAAAGTGGGCCCTAAGATACAATTGGTAAAAAGCCTCTTTCACTTTCATTCTTTTGCTTTAAGATCCAATCATGTGCACTTGTACATATTCAGTAAAAAATGCCACAAATATGTACTCAATTCTAAAATAGGCCTCTCAAAAATCTTCCAAATATTAAGTCTGTTGTCCCTAAATGATATATAGTTGATAGTTAGTGAATCACGTGGCACACAATGCTTCATTTTCCCCTAATTGAACAGTACCATGAATTAATTGGTAAGAGGTGACTGCAGAATTTCATGAAATATTCTTTAAAGTCAGATGGACTGAGTCAGCCTATGCCAGTCCTTCAATCCTAACTGCTTAATTCTCTGGTGATATGGTGGTACATATGCAAGCGAAAATTTAATGGAAAGAGAGAAAGGAGTGCCAGGGCCAGAGACAGTCAGAGACTACAAGTTCTGACCTGTAACATTTCCTAATCTCTGTGGTGTAACCATCACTACTGTGGCTGACTGTAAAGATACTGAAGGAATGTCACTAAATACAGAAATTAGAACAACCTTAATCAATACATTGTACTGTTTTAGTAGAATAAATAAGACTGTATTTATAATAGAAAGAAATTTATGATCTAAACTATTTTTGAGGCTGAGAAGCCCAACGTCTCATAATAATGTTGAGAAGAACCTTCTTATTACCTCATTCCTATAGCAAGAGGCACCCTGTGTGGAAAGACAAAGAGAAGTTAATTAGAAAAAATGGTAACTTGGGAGAAATCATCCCTGAGACAAGAGATTAGTCTGTTCCTGATGGTGAAGTGGTGACCTGACACCTCTAAAGATCTCACTTCTCCACACTGCTAGAATGGCAGTTAGTCACTTGACATGAATTCAGAGCAGACAACTGTTGAAGGTATGCATTAATCAGATCTGGTGAGCCAGTGAGAAGGAGCCCTGGCAGACTTTTGCCTTTTTTCTAGATATCTTGAACCTAAATGTGATCCTATAAAAATTTTAACAAATGAGATTTTGGCAGAAGTTCCTGAGGAGCAAATTCTTTTATTTTGCATTAAAGAAAAATCCTTGCAAAGAGAAACTATTTTAAACAGAATGACAAGAATTGAAGCTGAATTGGTAAAATGATAGCGCTGAACTACAGATGATATTTGATTCCTATTAGATTTGTGGAATGGCTGCAGTAGAATTGGCAGCTTGAATTTTAGATTTTTGTTGTATGATACAAGTAATTTTTTCTTTAAATCTTTTTTTGATATTTTTTGGGGTTGGACAGCTTAATTATTAGTAATTATACAGTAATGATTACTACCAGTCATATAGTTATTTTTATCAGAAATTTATACATCTACAAATGGTTCCAGTAGAAACTTGAATGAAAGAAAACTGCAATAAATGCAAATCCAGAATAAGTGACATTCTAGTGATTCCAAATTGCATTTCCTGGGCATGAAAAAAGAGATTAAACAGAGTCCAACTGACAGACCATATGTAAATGGGTTTTGTACTTAGATGTGGCACCTGTGACAAAAGTAATTGTTAATTCCAATTCTTCATACCCTCTAACAATATTATGCATCCTCAGTTTTCCCCTAGCCCTTTGGAGAGAGGGAGAATACTTCCTTACCTTTTAATTTTGGTTTTGGCCATGCTCTTTTTTGTGACAATGATGTGTTAGCAGTGATGATTTTGGCACACAGTAAATTGTGGCTGCAAAGGTTAGCGTGACCTTCTTACATTGATTTTTAATGCATAAAGAATGCCCCTTATTTAGCCACTAGGCTAGAAAATGGAAGACAGAACAAATATGAACTCAGGTTTTAGCTTTGTAAAATTCCATAGCTAAGTCAGTTAAAACAGTGGAAACTTAATTAACCTACACATAAATTAGTAAAAGTTAATGCTATTTTGTGTCCCTGAGATCTGTAGTTTATTGCTACATTTCCATGGCCAGCTATGGGCATGGGGGGATTCTTATTGTTAATTTAGTGAAGATTACATGTCAGATTTTTGCTCTCCAGGATATTCCATTGATTTAAAACTCATGATCCATTTAACCAAAACATTTTGTTCAATCAGTGGCATATTAGGGAAGAAAATCACTTAATTGTATCACATGGATCATTTTATTTACCAAATAAAACTTCCAAACTTTCACAATGATTATTCTTTCAAGAATATTCATATGGAATTCATATTTGATCACATTTGAATCTATCCTGAGAGGTTCTCCCACATACTTAAACTCAACATCTTTGTCATTAGACCTGAAGGATTCTAAGTAGGATAGATTGTACAGAGAAGTATTACCAGAAGTTTCACTTTCACCAAGAGCCTTTAGGTGGGACAATACAGTAATAAAATCTAGAACTCTAATTTCATTTTTGCTAGGACATTATGCAAAGTGATCTGTGTGCTTGATTCTTTTTGTGTCTCAGGTAAATTGTAACTGGAAATGATAGACACATTAGACACATAGATGTTTACTAGATTGTGATAGCAAGTGGAAGGAAACCTGATGGTCATGTAAGTGCTTGTTCTTAAAAGAAGAAGGTATGATGTTAGGCCTAGAGACAATATGTGATGCAGTTAGTGATAAAGCTTAATTTAGCATTCTTGTATTTTAGCTATATGATCAAGTACTATACAGACTATGATAGCTAGCTCACCACAGTAATTTAGTATGCTATAATCAGGAATTTAGTCTCTACAATTGAGTATTAATCTAATATATTTTTCTCTGTATGTAGACTTTCTAAAGATAATTTAACTTGAAAACCTGAGAGGCCTTCCTGCAACTCTCCTAAAGACACGTGACATAAAATTCAGATTATTTTAAATTCCTGGAGATATTCCTAACATTATAGGGTCCTCTGAATTACAAGGGACAAATCCTCAAGCTGCTTGGGTTGCAATGTGAAGAAGTGAAGACCTTTGGCTTTGAGGGTCCCTGCAAGCTTAACTACGATGCTAGACTAGTGAAACAGTCGTGTGTGTCATGTGTTTCCTCTAAAATCCAGGGATTCACTAAGTGTAGTTCCACTTTCTTAGCCATAAACTATGTAAATAAATTCTAGTCTAAATTATTGGATATGCAGCAAAACTTATCCAAAAAAGGCATATTTTTAAATTTTCATAGGATTAGCCTGTGATAACTGGTACCTTATTGGTTTCCAGGTTTTGTCAGTATGATACTAATTAGTGTAATATACCGGCATAATGACTGTTGTGCGTATTGCATGAAGCAAGATTCCTGTAGCTAAAATCATTATTCAATTCAGAATGTAAATACTCTTGGACCAGGAGAGAAGGTATATGGTGTTACAACTGTATACAATCAAACTATATATAGTTTTCTGTTAGTTGGAGAAAGTGAATTAAAGACAAAGCAAAGCAGAGGAAATCAATAAAAATATACTTATTTTTCGTGATTTAATACTGTGATTTCAATTACAAGTCATTCATGCAGAGCACATATAAATGGTTGTAAAAATTAGAATTAATCTTTGTTTCACCTGGTGCATATTTATTATTAATAACCAAGATTTGATTTTCTTCTGGTTTGTTCAAATTAGAAAGTTATATTCATTAATGATGGGAACCAATAACTCTGTACTTCTTTGGTGTTTTTGTTGTTTTGTTTTAATTATTTTCAGCAATACCAGCCATTTATATAATGAGTGTTTCAGTGCATGTGCTTTGTTTTTCTAATTTGGTTGGAAGGAATAAGAAGAATCAAAGTTGTGAAACAAAAATTGTTGTGGATATATCTCCTAACCGTATGTTCATTACCAGGAGAAATAACTGTGGATAACTATTAGATGTGTATGATAGGCAGAATGGTGTTTCTCTAAAGGTAGTCACCTCCTAAACTTCAGAAGCAGTCAGTATTCATGTACCTTAATGCAAAAATACTTTCCAGATCCAGTCTATTTAAGGATATCAAAATGGGGAGATTTTCCTGAATTAACCAGATAATCTTGATAATATTACAAGGGTCTTTATAAAACAGATGAAAGATTAGTCTGAGTCAGACACAAGATGGTGTGTTGCCCTGGATGGAAGCAAGAGAAGAGAAAGAATAAGATTGAAACATAGTATGCTCCTGTTTTTGAAAATGAAGGAAGAGCACCCGAGACAAAATATATAGGCAGTGTCTGTGTGGGCCTATGTGGCTTGTTAACAACTTGGTGTTTCAGATGGGGAACACAGGCGTTAGGTGTTCTCCTGTGGCTGATAGGCAGAAAAATACTTGAAAGAAAAGTTATTACTTTGGAAGATGAACAGTATATTCTTAGCAATGTGGTTATATTAATAGGAATGACAAAGGGGCTGTGATCTGTGCAGCCATTCAGTTTGGAGCATTGCACAGTATCCTGGTGCAGACAAGTCATGCTTTCCAAGTTTTGAGATTACCAACATCTAAGAGATTAAAAGTATTTGAATCCTGAGTGGAACACAAATGGAAAAAAATTGTGAAAAATGTAATTTTTCAGAGACTGAAAAATAAGTCAAATTTTTAGAAGATTATATTGTAGGAACAGAATATATAAGTTCTGATATTTTACAAGTGTTTGGTTTAAATATAAATGAAATGATGGAATGATATTGCCAAATACTAAAAAAGTATATCATTTTTTATTAAGTTTATTA